CCCCCCCCCCCCCCCCCCCCCTCCAACTTACCTATCACCGTTCTTCCGCAATACGGGACGTACACAGTTGCGATTTTCTGAACTACTAGTCCAGGGCTTATGTTGCATGCACTGCGCCTGGGTAACATGTTCATCCGCTAATAAAGAGGGTCGGAAACCTAGCTGGATTTGTTCAACGAACTTGAAGTCCTGCTGGCACGAACGGCGTTTCCAGTTGAGCAAATAGACACGTACCAGCGAATAGAATAGAACAGAATGGAGGGAATATTTTGTGGAATCCCATATAGTTTCGCAAGCACAGTAATGTCGGATTTCACTACACCTTAGCAGCTAAACTAAACATACAGGTGCACTTTTGGTGGCACACTCTTCATTCTCACCAGATGAAACCCGGGCTTCTCTATTAGAAATGAAACTTTCCCGTTAGCCCATATATCTTGGTAACGAAACAAAACATTTTGTATCCCAACTTTGTTCCTGTACTGATGAACTCCATCTCTCATTTCCGACCCCTCAACCCGACTCAGTTGTTCCCGTTCTTCATATTCTCCACGTCATGCTCCATCATTTTGTCCAGGATGGCATTTCCTTCCTCGAAATCGTCCACACCCATACCGAGTCCATACGAGTGCTGGAAGTTTTTTCGATCTCCCCATCCTTTCTTGACGATTTGGTACTTGGACGGAGCGCTCGAATTGGAGGTGCTGGTTCTGGCAACCAGGGAGAAGTTAATGGTAATTCTGTCAGCGATGTACGATACATGTATAAGAAAGGAGGATGTCGGAATGATGAAGACTAGAAGTTCTGCTGGACAGGTAGGCATCAAAAAGATCCCTATGTGCCTTTTCTGTTTTTGTGTGCATGCATGGTTTTAAATCGGACCGGTGTTATGGGATATTCTTATGCAGTGTCCAGCGGCTGTTTCCGTTTGACAAATTCGTTTAAGACAGAAACCAGATAGAGGAGGGACAACATTATATCTTTTAGTCTGTAGAAATGAGAAATATCACGGCGCCTAGAGGAGATGATGCTCCCCCCGTCTTTGTGTACATGTGCCGTACATGTTGTGTGTCTCTTATCTAGAATATGTATACATACTTGGCTTCACTTTTGGCATCCCCAGGAGCCTGTAATTCAGTTAGTTTAATAGCAGACCATCTCCGTATTGCAGCTCCCTGGAGGAGATAAAACACAAAACAAGTTTAGATATGTACATACCTGCTGTCCTCCACCCCCTGTTTTCTTTCCATCCGATGGCATGATGATTCAGTCTGCCTTCGCAAGGAATGGCTTGATGTTTTGGCCACAGTCAAAATCTTGACAGCACTGAAAAGCAAAATACCTGATCGCAAATCTGACCTAGAAGTTCGTTTACGTTCAGAGATGGTGGTCGGCAGATACCTTTAATATTTGGAGTTTTGTGGGGTGCCTTGTTTATTTTTCATTTGGCAACTCGTTGATGTAAAGAGTAGAGGGCGAATGAGTGGACCCGATGATCTCTAGTTATCATAGAATTTAGTTCGGAGCTTGCTTGGACCCACATAACTTCGGTAACTTATCTGTTGATTTTATATTCATACCATTTTCTCCCAATCAAGTCAATTCGAAGGCAATTAGTGTGTGTATGTGTATGTGGGTTTTTTGCAGAGAAGGCTCGTCGTCTCCAAAGACTACAAAGGGAGAAGGAAAAGATTAACTACAATAGAAGATAAAATGACATGCGCTGAATAACAATTATCTATGTACATACATATATCAAGCTATTGAATCATATGATTGTAGTCGTGGGTTATTCAAAAAGAACTAGAACCCATGAGCTAACAAAAAACAGCAACGAACGGCACGGGGTATAAATGGGATACATCTGTTGATTACCGTCCGGGACGCTCAAAAGGCATGAAATATATATAGAGAACATGAAGAACAGGATAGTCAGAAACAAATCTCCATACGTAAACACGTTCTCTCTGGCACCAGAAAAGGGACATTAGAATTTCAACGACAGAGATTCACTTAAATCGATGTATGTAGATTTCCTACTCGCGCACTTTTATCTCTTCATCTGGAGGATTACCGAAGCGCCAGACGCCATAACACCTCGTTAAAAACCAGAAATAAAAACTAAAATGAAAAATAAAATAAATAAATTTGAAATGAAAAGAAAGAAATGAAATAAAAACAAGAGAGGAAGGAGAAGAAGAAAGAAAGAAAGAAAAAGAAGATCCAAGTAAGAGCCAAATGTGCCGTTTGAGAGGATATTGCAAGCTCGCATGCTGCCACCACCGAGGCCATTTGTCGATACTTTAATCTGCTCTCGATCAAACCTCGATTCTGGTCTGGGAATTGTATGAGCAAGGACTCATAAAAGTATAATAACTAACTCCCTTTTCCCGTCGCTGAACTTATTATTAATCGAGCGGTCATCCGTGCTCTCGAGCGGGTTTGAAACATAACAAGAAATGAGATGCATAAGCGGTCGGCTAAACGAAAAAGAAGATAAAGAAAGAATAAAAAAGAAAAGGAAAAGGAAAAAAACAAAAGCGAAACCCAGGGATAAGTCCCATGAATGAATCATGCACCTCCAGCAGCTTCTAAGGCGCGCACGAGACAATCCATAAGCTCTTTGAGTGACCGCCGCTTGCACTTCTGAATAGTCTGCATGCATTCGCGGCAGATTCGCAGGCAGCAGAACGTGCATCGCCAGCGGAGCAATTGGTCTTCTTTCAGACAAGCCATGCATGGCACGGGATAGACGGAGTTGTTCGAGGCTGCGAAATAACGGTGGGATTGGTAGCAGGAGAAATGGACTTTGGTGAGCGGTGGGATGAGATTCTTCTTTAGTCGCGGCTGTTTTTGGGAAGCTGGTCTGTTCCCTTCCGGGGTGGGTACCGGCGCATTGGGTTTCATGGTGGATGGTTCGGATGGCATTTCGGTTGTGATTAAGAGTTCCGTCTGTTGGGTGCTGGTGCTGCTGTTCCTGCTGCTGTTGCTGGCACTTCTGGCGCTGCTGGTGCTGCTGCTGGAATTACTCGCGGCCGGTAGTGCGGGAGTGGGTTTGTTGAGTCTGCTCATCTGGTCTGTCCTGACTTTGGTTGGCTCTTGCGAGTATGGGGTCAGTGGTTTGGGGGACCCTGAGGAGGATGGTGTCATGATTTTGGAAGATGGGCTTGTAGGATTAGAAACTGGGACGAAGCTCCTTGATTTCCTGACGATCATAGACTGGACGTGAGGGTGCTGGTTGTGATGGTGTGCAGGAGGAGCGTATGGGTTCTCCAACCGTGTGCGTTGCTTATCAGGACGTCTAATGGGTAATGAATCGGCGAATCTGATGGTGGTCGTCTGTGGTGATCCAGATCGAGACGGGACCTGCTTTCCTTCAAAAGCAGAGAGCTGGACTGTAACAATTGACAGCTCGGAAGGGTCCATCCCCTCCGTTATCGATCGTCTGTATCTGCGTGAGAGAAGAGCCTCGCTCGACGAGAGCTTCAAATCATGGCGAGTAAGGCGATCGTCAATGCGCTGCATAATTGACAAAATTGGACTCTTCTTCCTCTCTTTCGTAGCTTACCAGGTTGAAATTTGATCTCGATCCTGCGATGTAAATTGCAGCCTGATATGATCAAAGAGTTTTCTTATCTCTGTTGAAAAAGATCATAGGAGGATTGGAGCCATCGCCTGTGATGTTGACGTGACTATAACACTCTGCGAACAGAGTATCCTTGAGAATACAAGGAGGTTGAACTTTGACCGCCAGGGTGAATGCGACGGTGAATCTGTACTTTCGTACAACAGTTTAAAGATCAACGATTCACATAGTTATAATTTTGGAGTGCAGAATTTCCACATGGACGGGCCCAGCATGAATATTTGTCACCCCCACCCACGTTAAATAACTAACTAGTTAGTCAAATGAAAGATCAATGTCTGACAACCATTTTGCTCTGTCCGTGCCTGGTCCAAATAGATATGAACCTAATCCTAATCTCCTTAGCGCTCCATGCGGTCGATTCCAAAGAATCACAAACGGCCGGGGCAGAATGGCAGCACGAAGATGGTTTAGCAGCTTAATTAGTGGCTAGCCATGGGGCCTCCATCGGTGAATGTGATATGATATGTATGGACTATCACCACATTTGAACGACGATGATAGCTAGGGTGCTCAAATTCAAATATTTTGCCACTTGAGACTTCGGTCAACGAGACTGGGAGTGTGAGAAAGGCGTCTCAAGAACTGGGGCATAACTTGGAAAGTTGGAAGGTCAAGAAGTTTAGTTTAACAATAGCCCCAACGCCACAGAGGGAAGAGGGCAAGGGGAACATCGGCGCTACCCTCAAGCCGAGTTTGACACGTCCAATCGTCGAAGGTGAGGACCGAGTGAAAATTTCATTTGGCCAGATTGTGCGGAGTACTTACGGAGTGGCCTTGTTGTTCTGCGAATCTGTTCTGCATATTGTATCTATTAGCTCTAATATTCGGATATCGAAACATGCAAGAAATATTAACCAACAGCAGGAAAGAAAAAAGAGATGTCAACGAATGACAGCGGTCGAGGCCAGAAACCCAACCAATGCAATTGACTTTGGGCATTTGGAACCAAAATAATGCAGAGCATCGTTGTCTGCCACTGGTTCGTCCACCCCCAAAGGTTGAGGCTGAGATCTGGGGAATAAGGAAAAGGGACAGAATATTTAATACACGTGGACCAACAACCTGCAAGCAAGCTTCCAAGGTTCGAATACAAGCCTCGATATTCCCACCACCCATTGCTTCGAGCACCGTTCGATCGTCGTCGCTCGGAGCGGGGAGCCTGAGTATAACTTCTGGGGGATAACTAGTGGATAGTGGATATCCGAAGCATTCTTTTCAATGTGGTGGATTGTGCAATTTTTGCTGAAGAGACGCAAATATCCCCAACTCCCGTAAACGTCGCGTGTCTCTGCTCGATTGATTGATTGATTGATTGATTGATTAACTTTCTTAAGTTGACATCTGCACATCATAAGGGCAACTGATCTAGTTACTAGTCTAATTAATGGAGTTAACTAATTAATTCCCAACTGATCAGCACTTCAAATGTGCAACGCGAAACTACTCCATGAACTTTTTTCCTCTTTGATGCGTCAAAATGTCACCATTCATAATAGATAAAGAAGAAACTCTATAGATATAGAGGGCGGACACAACTTGCAATTCTTGCTTTGGAAAATAAAGAAACTAATATCTCTATTTGTGAAGCAGCAAGACTGCACAGTGTTGTAGATTGTCTCTTGCCATTGATTCAATTATCTGTTATGTATAAACTTACATTAATTGACTGAAACTGAGGAAATACTTGCTCAATAAGTGCTAAGTCTGATTAAATAAAAATTGCTTTTTAAATTTTCTTTTATAAAAAAATGATAATTATCTTCTTGTTATAAGATTTTATAATTTTTTCTTTCTTATATCAATAAGAGCTAAGATTTAAAATTAATTATATACTAGTTATATTGACAAGTAATGAAATTTATTAAAGATAAATTTTAATTAAAATATATTTAATTTAATAAATTATTAAATAAATAAAATAAAATTTAAATATTTTAAAATATTTTATTTTATATATTTTTTTTAATTTTATAATAAAGTTTTAAAATTTTATTAAATAATTTAATAAAAAATTAATTAAATTATTAATATTTATAAATATAAGAACAATTAATATTTTTTTTTTAAAGAAAAGTAATGTTAGAATATATTTGCTATAAATTAAAATATATTTAAAAATGCAAAAAGTCTATTGTAGAATTCAACATGAAGAAAGCCAAATTAAAGAAGAGACTCAAAACTTTTTCATCTGCTGAGTTTGTTGAACAGCTCATTATTCTCTCTCTGCACATCTGCCAGCAAAAGCTAATTCATATATACAAGCAACTGCGGAGGTGCAGCAATTGCAATATGGTCAAATGAGAACAATATGCCCTATATTGATTTTACTTTAAATAGTGGTTGTTGAGTGTAGATATTTCAAGTTAAACCTATATACAGAGTATGCTATTCTTATTCCGACAGCCAGCTCAGAGAGGAATTAATGATAAAAGATTTCTATATAAATAGTTATGATTGAAAAATTCAACGATCAGTTCAAGGGTTTACTTTTGTTTTTAATTTTTTAATTTAGTTTAATTTAATTTTTGTGTGTGAGTGTGTTTCTGCTTGATAAGGAGAATACAGTATCTGCCACAGTTCGTACAGCATTCTGGTCTCAGTAAAAAGTATCTCTCAATAGGGGTAGTAAAAAGTCATAGTCTGGGCTGGCAGGTTCCTGTTCCTGTTGCAAAGGATGCACAAATATTCCCGGCATGACCAATGTTATCCAGGCAGAAAATATTGTTTGCTTTACTCGCCGTATCTGTCTGCATTTTTGAAACAAACCCGATGGTGTTAAATCAAATGTAGACATTGGTGCATCTCTCATAAAGACTTGATCATGTTCTCTTTGGTTGCATCAAAATCGCCAGTCAAGTTTCGAAGTAGTGGGCCACAGGTCCGCGGATAAAGTGGAATTCTCAATTGGTCTCAAGGAGCAAAGTCAAGAGCACAAATAGAGACTGTTCTGATTTATCTCTGATAGGGGTTATTTTCATGTTTGAATTTTGCAGTTGAATTTCCGCAAAATCTTATCTCTTATCTCTAGATACCTTTGAAGATTTGAAGAGGATTTTCTTATTGCAAGAGAGAGGGGAGAAAATAACAACACCTTGAACCCAGTTCTTCGCTGAGAATCAAGATTCAATTGCTCAGCCCTGCGGAGTTGTGGGCTTTATGTTTTGGTGATCAGTTTACTGGGTCTAACCAGGGTTTAAAATAACTGGTTATCTGGTGCTGTGCCAAGGAGGCGGAAGCGAAAGTCGGGGAAGCTTTTTCGAATCTGAAAACGGTAGAAGAACAACAAACCGCGATAAACCTCCAAACCGACATATATCTTTATGGGTTTCTTTCCCCCCCCCCCCCATATAGTTGCCAGTTCATGTTAGATTAGGCCAATTTATGGGCTACAGGGATGGGATTTTATCTCTAAACAACATCTTCCTGAGCATAAATAAATATATATGTTGTGGGAATGACGCGCGAGACGACATCCGTGCCACCCCAATTCGCAAAGCCAATCCTGCAATACACAAGGACTCGACAGGAGGCTCTTTATATTCGAAGAGCGTTGACTCTGTATTTGAAGGCGCAAATTGAGTTCTCTGGTGACTCTCACGTATCTCACATCACTCTTTGCGTTCCACACAATGCTACCAATGTGAAGCGCATCCCACCAGAGTTGAAAAATGGACTACGCGCGCAATACCTCCAGGCGCTGCATGCCAACATAGCTGCGAAAAGAGAGTACAATGAGGTGCTTCTGGAAATTGCAGCTCAGAAGAAAGTCATGCATTCCTCATCAACTGGTTCTGTTGGTGAGGAATCTAGCAACAAGGGTGGAGAGGTGCAAGCCTACCTGGGATTGCTCCGAAGCCGGCGCGATCATGGGAAGATACTGATTTTCCAACATTACCTGGAGAAACTGAACAAAATGGAGGCTGGACAAGCTGGCTATCTTGGACTTAGTGATGAGCAAGCTTTATCTCGCCAAGCTGCTGAGAGCTCGGCTGTCTCGGCTACCTTAACCTCGAGGGGCCGTGACGGCTGTGGCACGGATGTTGAAGCTCTTTTTCATCGGTTGGAACGGGCGGTGCTGCGTGCGAAGAATCAAGCAGATATAGAGAAGAAACTGTTGGAAAAGCTAAAATACCAACACCCCTCTGAAGATGAGAAACCCGTCCCACCAGGGAAAAAGCTGGAAGCTTTGCGATGGACTCATACGGAATTGGTTCGGTGGGTTGAAGAGAAGCTGGTTGAGTCTTCGCCAATGGATGACCAGGGCCCGATTGAAGACGAAGCCATGATCGTTGCATCCGACGTCGAAACAATTCAAATATTGGAAGAGACTAAATCCCAGATTCAGGAACAGTATGCCGCCTATGTTAGAGCTCGAAAGGCTTTGCTATCGGCCGTATCTACAGCATCCCAGCCCCTCTCTGTCGGTTTCCAGACACCACAGCGCCGTCTTGCACCTAGTGAGAAGCAGCAGAATACCCCTACGCCGGACCTTGCTTTACTGTTATCATCCATATCGGAGCATCTATTGCCCTTGTCGAAGGCCCAGAAAGCCCCATCGATGCAGAAATCCCATCTATCCGCTATCCTTGCCAAGGAGAAATGGACTACCTGCCGAATGCTGGATCGACTGCGGGATGAGAGTCATCTACTTCCAGAATATCCTATCCTCACGAGACAGCCGCGCTTTAAGCATGCCGTTGCAGCTATAAACCGCCTGCCATCTCTGCTTTCCAGCCCAACCAACCCGAACGAGAGGTCAGAGATAGTTACTCATGCGGAAGCCTGGGCATTTGCTGCTAAGGAAGCAGGGGATGTGACGAGGGGATATATTGAACAGAGGACGGACATTGCGACAGAATTGGCCCGAAATGCGGAGGATACGTTGAAGGAGATGTACGAGCTTATGAACCAGGACTTTGAGGAAGCAACTGCTAGCAAGGCAAAAGACAAGGAGGATGATGGGGATATCTGGACTTCGGAAAGCCGGTTTGCTAGAAATAGAGGGAGACAGGCACGATCGGAGAAACGGCCAAAGGGTCCTTGGTCTGGGTTGAATGGGAGAGTTTGTGCCATAGGGGATGGGTAAGAATAGTTTGAATTGCGAATCCATTGCTAGATGTGGGGAGCTGTGTTGTAGGCTACAGCAAATACATAAAATTTCTCAGCACAGTATGTGCAGTACAAACAAACCATCCGGGTTTTTGACATGAGGAGCTTTTGGTTACCAGCATGCATCGACAGGGCATGGCTGGCTAAGCATAAATTGTTAGAACAAGAGCCCCAATCAAGCAAAAGATCGAATAATACGATCGTAATAATTCTTTATTTTAACTACCTCTAAATAAGTGTTCCATGCATGTACACAGGATTCTATCTATACAAATATACAACTGTATCCTGGGAATGGAATAAAATTTATCACTCTTTTCTTGATGCTTCGTTCTACGATAGTGAGTCATGGCGCTAACAAATAATCGCCCGCCCGGACCCAACAAAAAAAAATTCACAGCAGCCAAAAAAAAAAAAAAAAAAAAAAAAAAAAAAAAAAAAATATTGAAAATGAAAATGAAAAGTTGAAAATGAAAAGTTGAAAAAAAACTCAACCAACAATTTACAAACCATTCCTCTCTCCATATTTACCGTCAACTTCACTGCTCTTCCACAATTCTTCATCTGTCTCCCACGCTCTCTTGAAAACCACTCCCACTCCATCCCCTTCTTTTCCAAACAAACCCTCCACATCCTCCTTTCACCGCTGCGCCAGGCGCAGGGCTCCCAATGGCTCTCCCAGCCCGATGCGGGCAGCGGATGGTCTCCTCCTTGCTTCAACAGCGATGTTTTGCCTCTGCAATCTGTCTCCCATCCCTTCGCACCTTTTCTACCGTTCACACTCTCCCTTCATCAAAGACAATGCTACCTTCCCAAACGTTACTGCAAAAACCACAGCAGCTGCCGTCATGGCGGAGTCCCAAGCGGTCGTTCTCGAGCTCGCTGAGGCATCTGGCTGCGGTTACGGGTCAGGAAGCCCCCAGCGCAAAGGCTTATATGGGTAGCAAAGCCATTAAGGGCGCAGGCCAATTGGTTGATGTGACAAAAGTGCTGGTTATTGGGAGTGGTGGGCTGAGTATTGGGCAGGCGGGGGAATTTGATTATTCTGGTATGTCTCTTTGATTGTGAAGTGGTGCGGAGAGGACCTCAGGGATGAGAGGAGCTGGGGAGAGGATGGCTGGGGCAAATATCCATAATGTGTGCGCTAGACAGTTGACCTTTGGAGTGGCTTTGATGCGCATTGTGGGTTGGCCCTGTTGCATGATTTCATTTGGGAAAATGGGGGCTTCGCGAAAATTTGACTACAAGGCTCAATTGTACCGAATGGCTACTGACAAGTTCACTCGCATTTGAACAGGATCTCAAGCGCTTAAAGCCCTCAAAGAAGCTGGTGTCAAATCCGTCCTAATTAATCCTAACATCGCTACCATCCAGACTGACCACAAACTCGCCGATGAAGTCTATTATCTACCCGTTACGCCAGAATACGTCACCCATGTGATTGAAAGGGAGCAACCAGATGGAATATTCTTAACCTTTGGAGGTCAAACGGCCTTAAATTTAGGAGTCCAGTTGAACCGTATGGGGGTCTTTGAGCGGCATGGAGTCAAGGTCCTCGGAACCAGCATAAGGACTCTTGAAGTCAGTGAAGACCGTGACCTTTTCTCCAAGGCTTTGAACGAGATTAATATCCCAATCGCCGAATCAGTTGCTGTTAACAGTGTTGACGAAGCATTGGAAGCTGCAGACAAGATTGGATATCCCATCATCGTCCGATCTGCGTATGCTCTTGGTGGCCTTGGATCGGGCTTTGCCTCCAACGCGGAGGAACTCAAGAACTTGTCATCCCGCTCGTTGACTTTGGCACCTCAGATTCTGGTCGAAAAGTCCCTTAAGGGCTGGAAGGAGGTTGAATATGAGGTTGTCCGTGATGCTGCCAATAATTGTATTACCGTATGTAATATGGAGAACTTCGACCCCCTGGGAATTCATACGGGAGACAGTATCGTTGTCGCACCCAGTCAGACTCTTTCCGACGAAGAGTATCATATGCTGCGGACCGCTGCCATTAAGATTGTTCGCCATCTAGGCGTTGTTGGAGAGTGCAACGTCCAGTATGCCCTGCAACCTGATGGCCTCGACTACCGAGTCATCGAAGTCAACGCCCGTCTCTCCCGTTCCTCAGCTTTGGCCTCTAAGGCTACCGGCTACCCCCTCGCTTACACTGCAGCCAAAATTGGACTTGGGCACACCCTACCTGAGCTCCCCAATGCTGTCACAAAAACTACGACCGCCAACTTCGAACCTAGTTTAGACTATATCGTGACTAAAATACCTCGATGGGATCTGAGTAAATTCCAATACGTGAAGCGCGATATTGGTAGCTCTATGAAGTCTGTCGGAGAAGTCATGGCTATTGGCCGTACATTCGAAGAGTCATTCCAGAAGGCCATCCGCCAAGTCGATCCCAAATACCTGGGCTTCCAGGGCGATCATTTTGAAAATCTGGACGAAGTCCTCAAGAACCCTACTGATCGTCGGTGGCTTGCCGTTGGACAGGCCATGCTTCACGAGAATTACTCAGTAGACAAGGTTCACGAACTCACCAAGATTGACAAGTGGTTTTTGTACAAGCTGCAGAACATTGTCGATCTACAGAACACCCTCAAGGAGATTGGCAGCCTCTTTGGAATCCAGAAGGAAATGATGCTTAAGGCCAAGAAGATGGGTTTCTCTGATAAGCAGATTGCTCTGTGTGTTGGGGCGACCGAGGATGATGTGCGCGCAAGGAGGAAGAGTTTTGGTATTAGACCCTGGGTTAAGAAGATTGACACCCTGGCAGCCGAGTTCCCTGCTGATACGAACTACCTCTACACCACCTACAACGCTACATCTCATGATGTCACTTTTGATGATTATGGGACCTTGATCTTGGGAAGTGGTGTTTACCGTATTGGAAGCTCCGTCGAATTCGATTGGTGCGCAGTTAACGCAACCCTCTCATTGAGAAATATGGGCAAAAAAACTGTCATGATCAACTACAACCCGGAGACCTACTCCACCGATTTCGACACTGCCGATAGGCTCTACTTCGAAGAACTGAGCTACGAGCGTGTCATGGACATTTATGAGCTCGAGCATGCCACTGGAGTCGTCGTTTCCGTTGGTGGTCAATTGCCCCAGAATATTGCTCTCCGACTCCAAGAAACCGGAGGCGCAAAGGTCCTTGGTACAGATCCAAAGGACATTGACAAGGCCGAAGATCGCCACAAGTTCTCCCAGATCCTCGATAGCATTGGGGTGGACCAGCCAGCCTGGAAGGAGCTGAGTTCCGTAGCTGACGCTGAGGCATTTGCTGACTCCGTTGGGTACCCCGTCCTCGTCCGCCCTAGTTACGTACTCTCAGGGGCTGCCATGAGCGTCATCCGTAGTCATGATGAATTGAACGAAAAGCTTGTTTCTGCCAGCGCTGTTTCCCCGGACCACCCAGTGGTCATCACCAAGTTTATCGAGGGTGCCGAAGAGATTGACGTTGACGCCGTTGCCTCTGCTGGTAAGCTTATTATCCACGCCGTCAGTGAGCATGTGGAAGCTGCAGGTGTCCACTCTGGTGATGCCACCTTGGTCCTCCCCCCTGTCAACCTTGATGAACAAATCATGGCCCGAGTAAAGGATATTGCCGAGAAAGTTGCAAAAGCCTGGAACATCACTGGCCCCTTCAACATGCAGATCATCAAGGCTGATGATCTCGAAGGTGGAGAGCCACAGCTCAAAGTCATCGAATGCAATCTCCGTGCATCGCGATCATTTCCGTTTGTCAGCAAAGTTCTTGGCACCAATTTCATCGACATCGCTACCAAGGCCCTTGTTGGCAGAGATGTCCCTGAGCCCACTGATATCATGGCTGTCAAGCGCAATTATCTTGCTACTAAAGTTCCTCAATTCAGCTGGACCCGTCTTGCTGGCGCTGATCCATATCTTGGAGTTGAGATGGCCAGTACTGGTGAAATCGCCTGCTTCGGTAAGGATCTGGTCGAAGCATACTGGTCCTCACTGCAGTCGACGATGAACTTCCGCATGCCAGAACCGGGAGAGGGCCTTCTGCTTGGTGGTGACACTGAGATGTCCGAACTGCCTCAGATCGTTGATTACCTGAGCCCACTCGGATATAAGCTGTATGCTGCCAGCCCAGAAGTCAAGACTTGTCTGGAAGCAAATGCCAAGGGCGATGTCAAGATCGAAGTCATCGAATTTCCCAAGGAAGACAAACGGGCCCTGCGCGAGGTGTTTGAGAAGTACGATATTAGGGGTGTTTTCAATATTGCTAAAAGCCGTGGAAAGACACTTCTCGATGAGGACTATGTCATGCGACGAAATGCTGTCGATTTCGGTGTTCCGCTCTTTATGGAACCTAATGTAAGCCTCGAGCAGAGCATTTCCCCATTTTTCCCGTTATCAGAAGTTGTGCTTTCTTGTCTTTGAAATGGTTTCCACTAACAGAGCACTGCTATGAAACAGACCGCCGTCCTCTTCGCTAAATGTATGAATGAAAAGCTTCCGCGCCAGGAGGGAATCCCCTCCGAAGTCCGCAGTTGGTCTAACTTCGTTGGCGGCAAACTTTTGTAAACGAGATATTTTGGGGATGACCCTTTTTCTTCTTCCATTTTTAGACATGAGCTATTCTCTGGAAATCACAACCAGTTAGTAGCACAACCGGTTTCGATTCATTTACTTAGCTTTAACCTTTTCACCCATCCTCTACCTTATCTCCTTTTCACATTACCTAGATCTCAAGGCCCCAGCGTCGGGCCCTTTTTGTTTTGAGACCATCATTTTTTGCTTTGGTTTAGCCGCAGTGCTACTATGTACGCCTCTTTTTATTAATTAATGTCTTTGATTTTTTGCTTCTTCCCCCCCCCCCCCCCCCTTCCTCGTTTCTTAGTTATAATATCTGATTTGGCTTCTCCCCAATTTCCACTCACATAACTGCACCCTCAGAATAACCATCTATGCTGACTAAATTTCTGTGGACTAACATGCAACAATTTTTTAAACCTCATGATATGGGTTGTATTCATTCTTCCTTTCCTTTTCTGTCACGTTTTTTTAATGCTCTTTTTATCTTCTACTTCTTTTTTTTCACATAGACAAAAGTTCCATTGCGGATACCATGATTGCGCTTGAGGATCAATGCTGAGCTACTTATTACCACTTCAATTGAGCTTACATAGCTACGGTTTGTTGAACGGTTTCTGTATATGCTCCATCTCCATCTGTAAATGGTAATTGGCGACGAAAATGATGTGGGCACTGAAATTGCTCTAAGCCGGAATAGGTTAGCTTGTATTTCAAAATAATGTTGTCACGTGGATCGATAAATAACACTCACTAACCCGGCTAAATACAACCCCTTGAAAAAAACACTTATGCTTAAATCACACATAGTTGTGTACAATAATAAAAAAACTAGCGTTTCAATGTAGTCAGTTTGTGCCCAACCTCTCAATTGTCAACCCCCTCAATTCAGAGCTTATCTGCCCCAGCAATACTGGCTATTTATATATGGCTTGTTATTATTGTGTGGGGCTCTTTCTATGAGAATTTGCTAACAAATTGACTTGTCAAGCTAATAGAGTTTATTGAGAATATTAAAAAAATTCTTCATATTAATAAAACATTCATCTTTAAAAGATATATTTTTTTATATATAAGAATAAGACTCTCACTAAGACCTTAAGCTTAAAATAAAATACTGATAATATGATAAAAGATTAGATCTATTGAATCTTGAGTGAGAAATGAAGGCAGCTCAGCAAGTGGTGCAGCAGCTCTAATGTGAGATTTAAAAGACGCATGCTGCTGTGGAAAATGAGAAAGCAAGAAAACTAAAAGAACGTGAAGCTCAAAAGGCAGTCAATGAGCTCACATTTGCACAGCAAAGCATAGATTGAGCAAGTGTGCCTGACACCTGCTGCGACGTGATGTCAGATGCAGGCTCCTGCAGCAGTCCCTAACCCCCTGAGCCATATACAAGTTTCCCTACCTAGGAAATAAGGTCATCCTCAGTGTTCCTGAGCAACTACATGCTGTTCCTCTCCGGCAAGCAAAGATCTAACACTCATTCAATTGATCCTCTGCCTCCGTACAGAACCCCCCACCATGGCCGCAAAAACCAGGCAATCCCCACGTCCTATTTTATTGAACCACCCGATTGTGTAGATATGTTGAGAATACCTGTATTAATAGCTTTTAATTTAATTAATTTCCAATTTGTGGTGAGAAGATATTTAATTTCTTCTGGATGCAGTGTTTTCGATTGCGCGGCTCATTTAATAGTGGTTACGGAGTACGAGTAGTTACGGCTCGTTTTGTGGTCAAGTCACGTTACCTGTATATTTTCTCTTTTTGTAACAAAGAGAAAAAGAACCAGTGTTCATTGAAACATACATAGAACAAAAGCCAATAAGCAGAATGAAAGGAGATAGACCACCGAAACAGCTTGAGATGTGTGGCACGGAGAGAATTGCCTGCATAGACCCTCAAGCAGAGCCCAAGCAAACTGTAGACATGGGGCTGGGACTATTTGCCACCTCCAAGATACGTCCTGGTGCGAATGTGTTCGCAATCACGGCCAACTTCGCTACTGTCCTTGATACTCCGCGGCTGAAGGATACCTGCTCGAATTGCTTCGTAACGGTAGGTGATGAGGTGAACCCTGGGCTAACGCTGAAGGCGTGCACTGGCTGCCGTGTCGTCAAGTATTGTAATGAGGTACGTTGGGGCGTTGGTGTTTGTTTTTCCCCTTCCCCCGTCCTTCCTATGGATAGTTACGTTGTGTGTGTTCCAAAACTAATTTCTTAATTTTAATTTTTAATTTTTTTTTAAATCTTTTTGATTTCCAGAGATGTCAGACTGAAAGTTGGGCTGCGTCCCACAAGAAAGAGTGCAGTATCTATAGAAAGTGCCATCCGAATATTCTGCCTATGCACGCGAGAGCTGTTCTAAGCATGATTTCAGAGCCAGATAATCGCATTCTGAAGGGAATGTACAGAACCCATCATACGGCGGTCGATACTCTTGGAGATCATTTTACCGAGATGATGGAATTGGCTGGAGAGCAGATCGAAAGAGTGCTCACAAGTGCAGAAGGACTCAAGGAAATATCGAACACAGATGTCGGGTTGCCCAGGCTAGTGCGCTATTTTACAATGGTGTGGGTTCTTTTTCTTTTCTTCCCTCATTATATGGAGCGGCTCTAATGATTGGCAAATAGTTGGAAACCAATGCCTTTACTCTGACAAACCGATATTTCGACAGAATAGGACTATGCATGCTTCCTTTTGCGTCGTATGCAAATCATAGCTGCGAACCGAATGCTTACATTGGATTTGATGGACCAGTGATTTATCTCAAGGCACTGCAGGATATTGCTTTGGACGAGCAAATATTTATATCCTACATAGATAATACCGAGCCATGGGGAAAACGCCAATCGGAACTCCAAAAACGCTATTTTTTTACATGCAAGTGTCCCAAGTGTGCTCAAGGTCAGGCAGCACGAGAGGACCAGTATTTAAACGCTGAGGGCCCACCCACCAGTGCCCCGGAGAAAGTAGCATGGGATATTGTTGCTATGCCTGAAAGGCCAGGTTTAACACCTAATGCCTTGATTGTACAGGACTTAGCAGCACTTACGATGCTTCAATCAACAGGATGCTTTCCAATAACCCGTCAACCATATCCACATGTTCATGACGACTTCATCGTGCAACTCCTAGAAGCCAAACGTTACAGATCCGCCTTCCTCCCTACACTCATTCGGTATTTACATATGGATCCCGTCTTATACCCCAGCCGCTACCATCCAATCCGTAAGCGAAATACATGGGCGCTTGCGAAGCTTGTGCGGTGTATCAATGACCGCACAGTGCACGATAGAAGCCCGCCAACTACGAATTATGACAACTTTGGGGACCACTTTCCATGGATTTACTATTCTCTGCTCTGTGAACTCGTGGAGATTTACGATGATTCACTAGGTCTCCAGAATTTGCTCAAGCTTCAACTGCGCGAGATCAGCGACGAACTCGAACGCCATGGGATTGACTTCAGTACTGCTAATGAGCGCCGATTGAATAAGATTTTGATTGACAATGCATGGAAAGATGTTAAGTCCATGGTGGACCGCCAGCTATCAAAACTGGTAGCAATGGGCGGAAAGGAGGGGAATATCTATGACTGATCTGATGAATATTCTGGATGGCTATTGCCATTCTCTCATCAGGAGCACATACTCTCGCCCCATATCCATTTTCTCCCGGTCTGCCTTTTCGCTCCACCCTCGTCGTCGTACGGCAATCTCCGTTCTCTCATGGATTTTGTCGTGGTCCAAAATTGCCTGTTCACGGCATTGCTATGCCATGCATAACCTGTTTACCTTATATGCGCAACAATATTGTGTTGTGGGTCCACGACAAAAAGGATTGGACTGTTCACCATCTCATTTCTTTCGTTTATTTCTTGTAAACTTTGCGGATCTTCAGTTCAACCACCCGGTCATGATCGCTGCGACCAACTACCTACCGGATGAACACGGACCAGCAAATACAGCTGCTAACGTTGAAACGGTCATCCAACCGGCACACACACACACACACACACACACACACACACACACACACACACACAGAGGAATACGTTCACTTCCCCATCTTTGGGATTGACGAAGACTGGTTGAGCGGTTGGGAAGACAGCTAAATCGGATCAGAAGAGGGCTCAGAAGATGATTTAAAAGCGGCCTTAGCTGGCCTAGCAGCGAGTTCAGCTAACCCTGAAGACAGATTAGACGAGGGTTTAGACGGGAGTTCAGAAGACGGTGAAGGTGATGGAGATGATGGGGATGGTGAAAACGATGACGATGACGACGATGACGACGATGACGATGACGATGACGATGATGATGACGACGATGGAGACTATGACGATGAAGAGCTTTTCATTGAAGATATGAGTCCTTGGGGCGGAAGGAGCTTGGATCCCTCTGCCAAATACTGCACTGACGAAGTGAGCGTTGCTGTTGCTTCCAGCAGACGCGTTGGGCTCGTGAAATACGCCTGAGGGTGACTTTGTATCGATCGGCAATTTCTGAACAGAATTTGTGCTGTTCCTGTCCTTCCTCTGCTTCTTCATCTTCTCATTCCCCTTCCCCTTCCTCTGCCTCCGCCCTGGTCCTCTTCATCCTCTTCATCCTCTTCATCCCCCTCCAATCCCTGGTACGATGGAAGTGATGATAGTGATGATGACGATGACGATGACGATGACGATGACGAGGATTACGACGATGATGACAGCGCTGATGATGCAGTTGCTATCGTTAATGACGGAGAAGGAAATAGTAGTTTCGATGATCTCGAGATGTTCTATGCAAAACGTGCTGCGAGCGAAAAGGAGAGGAAACACGAACGCGAAAATCGAGACTGTACCCTCTCAAAATGAAAAATGGCTCCTGGGAGACGTACGCTCTTTGCGTCACCCTTCTGGGTAATGGCTTCGCTAGGTCTAACTGTACTTTATTGTCGATTTGCACTCTGGTTCTTTTTTTGCCCTTTTATTTCTTTATTTCAACTGCTTTTCGTTCTGTCCTCTTTGTGTCGTTATCCGGTTCAAGAGGTGGGTTTGGCGGGTAATTCAGAAAGGTTGGCTGCAGCAATGACTGTGGTAACATATCGAACGTTCTATGAGCAGGGGGCCGGTTGGATTTTGCAAAAGCGTGCTATGATGGGGAGAGAGGGTCGACAAACTTGCCTTTTTTTTTTTTTTGGTCTTGTTTTACCCATTTTTCCTGGAGTGGTTTTTCAGTAATGGGCTGGCAGTTACTTGGCAGTTGTTATGTTTCGAATTACTTCTTGTATCTTTTTGTAGCAGGCGATTGATCTGTTGGTCTTTGCGCAGTCGATTAAGGGAGTCTGAGTTGATATGTCGGTATTTGCGATAATGTAAATCAATTCAACGAAGTCAAGTTGTCGTTACCGGAAGGATTGTATTCCAACCATTGTCCTCCGTCCTTTATCATTCTATGCTCGCTGTGGTACCACGAGAATTGGCAGGGTATTGCTCGTTGTACAATTCCATAGTGGTTGCGTAAAGTTGATCCTCGCAGCTTCAAAAAAAAAAAAAAAAAAAAAAAAAAAAAAAAAAAACCCTCCTCATTGCATTATCTTTTAGCCATTACGGTATGGTGTAGCCCGGTGCTTGGGGGTAAGTAGGAGGTTCGAATGGTATGCTAGTGTGTTTCATTCTTACAATTCTTATCATTGGTACCGTTATTCCGTTTCAATACACTAACACACTTTATTTTGCCTATTGGTTCCTCATAGGAATAGAAAGAGAAAAGAAGTTGGGGATCATTTAGATAGGGACATGAAATTATCTTCTTCAGCTATCATCATAGAACGACTGGTTACAAAAAAAAACAAGGAGTGGGACCTTGGTGCGTCTTTTGAGGAAAAAAACTTTCATGACCTTCTCCATAGCCCACAAATATGATTGCCAAAAAACATGAAAAGGAAACCCCGACCCAAACAAACAGCATCAAATGCGAAAACATATAATTTTGGTCTATTTGAGGGGGATGAAACGCGAGGAGTGGGTAGCACCAATACCGGGTCTACCGTGCTTGACAGGTTTGCTGAAAGAACCGTAAGTATGTTTATTGTCAAATATTTCCATCTAGGGGTCAAGACGGCCAAGGGCGAAATGTTGAAAACATACTATGAGATCGAGAATTCACCAAGATAGTGGCCAACCATCTCAGGCTTGATTTCCACCTGGTTGAATTCCTTCCCGGAGTAGATACCGATGACGCTGCCAATCATCTCTGGGACGACGATCATATCACGGAGGTGCGTCTTGACGAGATCTGGCTTCTCGTTGGGCTTGGCCTCTTGCTTGGCCCTGCGGAGTTTCTTGATCAGGCCCATTGGCTTGCGCTTCAGGCCACGGTTGAACCGGCGGCGGGCACGGGCGTGGACGACATCTCGCAGCTGCTCGGAGGAGAGGTCTAGGAGTCTGTAGATTGACAATGGGAGGTCTGATTAGAAATCTCGAATTCCAAAGTTTGGCGTTGTATTTTCTCCTTTCAATAGGAGTTCATGGGTGTAAAGGTCGTGGAGAGAACGTACTGGTCGAGGTCGATTCCCCGATAAGAAAACTTGCGGAAGGCTCTCTTCTTCTTAATTTCTGATTCAAGGCAGAAAAGTCTGTCAGTCAATTAATCGTATCTTCTGTTTTCCTTTTCTTTGCCCTGCTCAAATCAACTTCCACAATATGGAGTTGTTTCCTGTCCGTTTACAAATCCCCCCAACCCCCCAACGCCCCTTTCTTCCCGAAACTCCCTATCTTCTCTTCACATATGTGTATATCCTGTCTGTCCCACATAGCAAAAGGATTTTCCCTCCTCATTATCCTCCTCGAAGCAAATCTGCAAGGCAAACCGACACGGGTATACAACAGGGTAAGTTTGGTATTTATAACACGTACCAGCAGCCTCATCGGCATTCTATGTTCACATAAACTTGTCAGCATATATATCACCCCACACCATCTAAGAAAGCATCGGAAACAGAGCACTCACATATTCGATATCAGCCATGATTGCAGATATCCCTCTCAAGACGCTTTCCGAGAGCCGTTCGAAAAGCGATGGGTGGATGTTGTCGCACTGAAGGGGCTTAAGTCGGTTGGTCGTTCGTTTGGTGGGCCAGCGAGGAGTTTGAAGCGTGGAAAGGTGAGGCTCGGCTAAGCGACGTCGCTAAGGTTTCTTGCCCTACCTGGTATCCCTATTGGGACTAGCGGCATTAGGGCTTGGGCCGTTTTAGGCATGGCCGAAAAGGGAAACGCCATTGTCCCATCAGAAGATATTTTGGCAGCTTCCAGGGGCTCAGCAACAACGATCAATCGATCGATCGATTATCAGGAAATACGGGATCCATCTCCAGAGTGTGTGGACGGACGTCGGTTGGTGGAGGGGAGGGGGGAATATCTACGTGCAACTCTGACTACAAGGCAAAACATAAGACGTTACAGAGACAAATAAATCTTGGACTCCTGGGATATTTCTACATCCGCTAGAGCAACATTTACAATAGTCAACTGAAAATCTGAAATGTTAGGTAACTGGTCTTCCGATGGGTGTCCGGGTTCTCTCACATATACCACCCATATAAATGGCCAACGTCAAACCCAAATTGCTCTAGGATTCAACCATAATCGTCAGACTCGTACTGCCCTGTCCCAGAGCACATGGTTCCAGCCGCCGGTATTTCCCCGCTGAACAGAAAAAGAAAGAAAAATCAACTAAATTAGTCAAAAAGACCGAAGCCCATGTCCTCATCGGACTCTTCCTTCTCCTCTTCCTTCTCCTCCTCCTTCTCAGCGGCAGGGGCACCGCCAGCAGCAGCAGAAGCAGCGCCACCAGCAGCAGGGGTAGCTCCAGCGCCACCAGATGGGACTGAGGCCAGCTTAGTAGAACCCTCAGCAATCAGCTACAACACAACAGTTTCACGTTAGCATATTTCATTGCATACAAAAACCATTAGCAGAGATCGCACTGACCTCGTCGAGGTTCTTTCCCTTGAGCTCAGCGATGAGATTCTGGAGGCGCTCACTGTCGGCATCGATACCAACGGCCCCAAGAACGGTCTTGATATCGTCAGCAGAGGGGGAGGTGTTGCCACCCAGGCCAAGGAGAAGGTAAGCTGCGAGATGCTTCATTTTGAATGTGGTTTCTGGACAGCAAGAGCCTTAATATCAGTAAAACTGGAATGTGTGAAAGGGTAGAGAGAGAAAATCAGCATCCAACAAAACAATACGCACTTTTAGGGGCTTCCCGAACAGGAGAATCAATCGATTTAACCGCGAGTTGGGCGGAGACTGAGACGTCGAGTTCGATAGTGGGTTGAAATCAGTCGTTGGTTGGATGCAGAAAGACAAAGTCTCCCCTTTTTTTATGTGATGGATGTTAAAGCTCAAAATAATTGTTGGCAGCAAGCGAGAGTGCGTTAGTCAGCATGACACCAGCAGATGCGCGGGGGCTAAGCTATATGTCCTTGGGGCTAATCCATTTCTGTTCTAGTGAGATGACTAATGTGGCACGTGATCGATCGATTATTTCTATCCGACTCTTGGCTTCTTTGCAGGTTGGCAACATCAACTCCTTCACATCTTTGTTCTTTTACTCGCTTTAGCTTTAATCAGAGAGGTTTAGTGACCACAGCTGTCTATCGTCCCTGGAGCGGGTTCTGCTTTGTCACCAGCTGGATATTGTTCCTTTTCGTGTCTCAAACAGTGCCAGTTTGGACTTAACAGACTGCTTTTGGTGGTCGTCGACATGTTTCGGCTTAAGATCCTCTCGTCATGAACCCCTCCTTTTCCACTGATCAACGATGAGAGTCTCCTCCAAAAGCTAGATTACGATTACAGCCTCGATCTAGCTTAATCACCATGACTGTCAGAATTCTCATGGCTCTGTTCAGTTACTTCAAGGATGGGTGCTAATCTTGCTCTGTTACAGTTCCTTAGCTCAGTTCTCTCGTCAATTGAGACGGGTGATCCCATTCCCACCGCCCCTCCTGCAGGCCGGAACCCTGCACCTGGGCCTGCATCTTCTGTTTCCAAAGCCAACTCGACTCCTTCCTCAACGACGCAAACCAACCAACGCCCTACAAATGGGCAAAAGCGTCGAGCGGAGGATGATGTTCGCCCCACAGGAAAGCCCAATAAGGTTTCCAGGTCTTCTTCTCCCCAACGACCAACTTCTCAAAAGCCGACTCCAACTTCGTCAGTAGCTGCAAGAGCCCTCTCTGTCTCAAAACCAGAGACACCGAAGTTACCTACGAGAACCCCATCCACAAGCACATCCAAAATTGCGGCGCTACCTAGCCCTTCCCCAGCTAAGCCACCTCCCAAAGGATCATATGCGGAAATGATGCTTCGGGCCAAGGCTCTCCAAGAAAAAGCTCCAACACATCTTGGCATGATTAAGCACCATTCGGTATCCAAGGAGAAGCAACTTCAACAGAAACGTAAGGCAATGGAAGCAAAGCAGAAAGGGGCTGAGGGGCAGAAAGGAGCTGAGGGGCAGAAAGGCGCTGAAGCGGTAAAGAACAAGAAAAATGAAAGCACAGCCACCAAGTCCTCGAATACCAATGGGCAACAAACACAAAGATCGAGTGCAGCAAGGGCTGCTCTGTTGAAAAGCCGTGGTGAATCTGAATACAAAGGAACCTCTCGTCCTCCACCTACTGCCTCAGCTCCAGAGTATAAAGGCACGTCTGGCCTTCCCAGCCGTCGCGCGTCTAATACTGGCAGAGCAAATGGTCGGGGTAAGACAAAGGCTCCCCATAAGCCCGTTCGGGATGAATATTTGGGCACGGATGAAGAAGATGAAGGTGGAATATACGACGATGATTACGATGAAGGAGGCTATTATTCCGACGAATCAACGGATATGGAAGCTGGCCTGATGGACGTTGAAGAAGAAGAGCAGCGTGCCCTTAGAGTAGCCAAGCTCGAGGATGAGAAAGAGCTACAGGCTGAACTGGCCGCCAAAAGGGAAAAAATGGAACGGAAGAAGAAGCTTGCTGCTCTGACTAAAGCTCGCCGTTGATAGGATGGGAGACGACCAGGCAGAGCTCGGCGCATACACACCTACATGCAAGTTCCCTTGTTGTACGGATAATGCCCCTCATGTGCTCTCATATTTTTGCTATACATATATGCTTGTACGGTTTCTGAAATGACTGATCCAACGGACTTGGGTGGCTACGCATGAGAATGACCCATGCGTGATATTCATGTACAGGTCTCACAGTTACTGCAGAAAGGATAATCAAATTGTCTTGGTGCCCATAGAAGAAGGGTTTCTTTTGTGATTGCATCACTTATGTGCTATTTCTTACCCTCTCCCTTTTGTCACTGTCTTATCTCAGCTGAGTTCTATTTGTTCCTTTTTCCTGCTTGCTTTCCCGTTTTTTTCCTTTTCCCTTTTTTGCATAGCGAAGCGAGTTTAGTCTTTTTCCATCATTTGAATTTGGTTAGCTGAGATTTAGAGCCCTGATCATGGCGAAATAATTAGTGTCATCTGATCTCCTTTGTAAACATTTTGAAGCAGTGAAGAAACCTAAAACCCAGAGCGTCGTGGTGGTGGTGGTGGTGGTGGTGACATCACACCTACGCCGTAGTTAATAGTTAACGAGTAACGTAAACCGCCACACAACGCACGCCGCCACACAACGCACGCCCCAAAAAGCCGATTTTTGAACCCAACCTTCCACCTTCAATCATCTACAACATGCCAACCAAAGAAGCTGTAGAGCTCGCAGTGGCTGAATTCCTTTCGCAAGAGGCTGGCAATTATACTACTGTTGCAAAAAAATACGGAATTCATCGAACTACGCTTATGCGACGCGTTACGGGCAAATCAGTGTCTCGAGAAACTGCCGACTCCCTATATAGACAGAAACTTACGAACTCTCAAGAGGAAGAGCTTATTCGATATATAAATCGTCTTACGGACCGTGGCTTTCCTCCTACACCTCGAATTCTTCAAAATCTAGTTGAAGAAATCCTTCAGGAGCCGATTGGCGAGCATTGGATCTCTAGATTTTGTCAACGCCACAAGGATCGCATCAAAAGCCTATATTTACGAGCAATTGATCAAAAACGCAAGAGAGCTGATAATTCTGAGTATTTTCAGCACTTTTTCCAGCTTGTATTTGATTGATTTTTATTTACATTGCCTGCAATTTAATGAGGGGTTGCTAATGCTTGAGCATCTTAGCTAGACGAAAAGGTCAAAAAATTCAACATTCGACCATCTAATACGTGGAATCTTGATGAGAAGGGCTTTCTTATGGGCGTCATGCAAATCAGCAAGCGAATAGTCTCTGTACAGCAGCTTAAGAGCGGGAGCTTGCTAGGCACGATTCAGGATGGGAGTAGAGAATTCATCTCTTTGCTAGCCGCCATATCAGCCAGTGGAAGGTCAACGCCGCCAGGTCTTATATATCAGTCAGACTCCGGGGATTTGCAAGATACGTGGCTAGAAGATTTTGATTCTAAAGAGCATGAGGTCTTTTTTGCTGCCTCCCCGAACGGCTGGAGCAGTGATCAATATGGATTACATTGGCTGCAACGGGTCTTTAATCCTCATACAAAGGCTAGGAATGGAGCCTGGCGCCTGCTCATCCTTGACGGCCATTCTTCTCATGTCAATATGAAATTCATCAACTACGCTGATCAAAATCGTATTATCCTTGCTGTACTGCCGCCTCATTCAACTCATCGCTTGCAGCCTTTGGATGTTGGTATTTTTGGACCTTTATCAAAGGCATACTCTCAGCAGGTGGATTTATTCTTACGCTCAGCAATGGGAGGTGTATCCATTAAAAAACGCAACTTCTTTTTATTATTCCACAACGCCTGGAAGCAAGCTGTCACGAAGTCAAATATAGAGTCTGGATTTGCTGCTACTGGCATTTATCCTCTCTCACCAGATCGGGTGCTTAGCAAGCTTGCTAGACCAAGCACTCCAGTCACAGCAGAGCCAGTCACACCCACTACCATACGAGGACTGCGACGGGCAGTTAAGAAGTTAAATCAACGGCGAAGAATCTCTACTGGGTTCCGAAAAATCGTTCATGCTAGTGAAAGACTAGTTTTTGAAAAAGAGATTTTGCAGCATGAAAATAAGCTTCTATACGAAGCTTTACGAAAGGAGAAGAAGCGCCGCCAACGTGGAAAGCCTCTAGGTCTTGTGGATAAAGAGAATTCGCGTGCTGCTCAATTCTTTTCACCTTCTAGGATTGCGGCAGCACGTCAGCAGCTTGAGACCGACGAGGCTGCTAAGATTAGTGAGGCTGCTGAAAAAGCAGCAGGCAAGCTTCAACAGGATATATTACGTCAAGAGAAAGCGATCGTAAAAGCTGCAAAGCAAGCTGCAACTCGAGCTCTTAGGCTGGCTAATGCTCAGAAGCGAGAGAGACAAAAAGCTGAGGTTGCTGCTCGCGTGGCTGCTCGTAAACTAGCTGCTGAGCGAAAGAAGACTGATAAGGAAGCTGCTCAGCAAGCTACTAGAGAGTTAAAGCTTTCTAGAGATCAAAATCTCGTTGCCGCCGCCAGATCAGCCAGGTCAGCCAAATCCCCTACAAAGGCCGTACGAAGCCAGGGGCCTGGCGAAAAATCTAACCAGGCCAACCCTATACAACCTTCCCAATCCGGTAATCAGTCAATTACACGCCTATCAGCAAGCTCCCTACGACCTACTTCTTCTAGCAGTTCCTCCACGTCGCCGTCAATTCCTTCTTCGCCCACCCCGCAATTATCACGTTGTGGCCGCATTATTCGACTTCCATCTAGATTTTTGGATTAACTATACATTTTTATATGATCTATTCCTTCTACTAGATATATATTTTTAATTTAAATTAAATAAATTCATGGGTGGTTGAGAAATTGGTGGAATTCCTTGGGTGGTTGCTTGCTTGTAGAGGCGTGCGTTGTGTGGCGGCGTGCGTTGTGTGGCGGTTTACGTTAAACCAGGTGACCTCATCCAACTTCCCAAACACCACCAACGTCTCCAAGTGCCATTACAATATCACTTCAACCACACGTACATACGTCGGAAGATATACGCATACTTCCTCTAGACATCAAAAGCAATTGCATGAAATCAACTCCCACATATACATAAATCCAATGCCCAATCCCGACAC